GTCGCTGAGCAAGGTTCATCTGACACGCTCTTGCACAGTAAGCCTCCGGATGATAACAGAACGGAGCCCCTGCTGGAGCCCCCGATTAACGGAACTTCGGATTCAATGCCAGCCCGGTTATGCTCCAAATCACCCTCTCCCAGGAAGCAGAAACATGATGACCAAATAATCCTTCCAAAATACAGCTGTGCCCAAAAGTAAGACGTCAGAGTTTTCTATTTTATACTGCTATCTTCACGAACAGAAGTCATGACGAGTTAAGACATGTACTGCCTTATTATAAATGCTTTATGCTGGCTTTTAATTCTTACCCTGTTTGTAAGACATGCCAAATTTTACTGTGAAATAAACGTTTCTGTTTCTACGACAAACACTGTGATCAATAAAGGAAACTACTTAGTCCTGACTTTTTACACAAGAGCACATAATTTTCTCTCAGGCAAATAGACGGCTTTTTGGGGGCAGGTTACGCATATCTATTTCTCTGCTTTATACACATGATTGCTGCTAGAGTGCTTTGAATTATACACACGGCGCTACAAGAAAACACAAGATTTTGAATAATTTGTGCTATGTTATATAGAAAATCGAACACATTAAGTTCAGGTAAATTATGTTCAACGTTATAGGCAAATTAGTCCAGGAGATAGGGGAGGGGGTTGGGAAAGTAACAAGTGGCAAATTAAGCGGCAATTAGTGAGAGGGGGGAGAGGGGAGAGAGGACATTCGGAAAAAATGCCGGTAAATAGGTGGTCGTTGGCCAGGCTTAACTTGGAGCTTGCAGCAGGTTCAGTTTTACTCGGATTTTGGTGTTTTGGAAATATTCATGTTTCACAGGGCGGGCAGCTACGAGCGCTAGGGTTTACGGTTAATGGATTCCAATTAATTTGTTTTTCGGCTTCCCAATCGACAAGTCATCAAGAAGATGACCATTCTTATCAGTTGAAATGTTGTTTTCCAGAGAGAAATTTAAACAAGACAAATATCAATATGCTAGCAGGATTTATTGACGTCATATAATTTCACGACCCGTTATTCAACTGCAAACTGTCATTGCCTATTAATAAGTAAATTAACTGTCCAATTCAGTGCTACCCTAGAAGGGTGCAAATTGATAAGTAAAGAGTGTAGGAGCTAATGCAAGTGAACATGCGAGTCATAGGAAGTAATTGAGAAGAAAACGACTCGATTACTGGGACAATAATTTATTCGCCTGACGTTTCAACATCCGTTGCAGATTCATCATCAGAGAAATTATCAGAGAACGGTAGCAGAAACGGGTAATACATGAACAGGAATTTGCAGTATTTATAGGATACAGTCATTACTGCAAACATGCAGCGACCACTAATGTTCATTGTCTTCTTGCGCTTGGATAGTTTGTTGGACGGCACGCGGGCTCTGACCTGTTGAACTTTCATCACGCGTCGTGGACTCGGGCCTGATGATTGCTCGGCATCCTGGCCCTCCGGTGTTGGTGTAAGATGAGGCGGTGGTCTGTCCGTTCCCCAAGTGTCGAATTGCTTTGGCCAAATTGAGTCTCAACATCGAATATAGATCGGGCAAATCGTTGCACTTGTTTATGGTTTGAGGGCCCGTGAACCATGACTAAAGCAATTCTCGGCTCATCCGATTGTCACCTCTTGCGAGAATTTCGGCCTCATCAAATTTAATATATGGCTGGGTCTCGTCTAATGATCCGCAGCTTGAGAATTGGCATCATTTCGCCGAACTGCTGCCGCGGGTTCAGCAATTCGCGTCTTGATAAGTCTGTCAGCTTCTCCGAAATAGTTGCCTTGCTCACAGTGCTATTAGTGCTAGATGTGGGCGCATAAGAGGGTAGAGAAGGGGAGAGGTAATTGCCATAGCATGGCAGTTCATGCAAGTATATGTTCATGAAAGCGTGTGGGTCGTGGTTAAAGGGGGGGGGCAGAGAGCACGATAGAAGTCAGTTTAAAGGAGGCAATGTGGCGTGTGCGGGAATGAGTTTGTCGATCATTTCCACGGCAATACGAGGTTGATCACATGATCTGGCTGCTTATAGAGTTCTGCTTCTCTGTATTGCAGGAGACGCCCGGCCGTAAGATCTTAAATGCAGTTTTTTGGTCAACCGTATGGCCAGTGTCCACTTGGTGCTTCGTGATTAAGCCCTTAGTCTTAGGCTTAGATTAGTCAATGAGGGTTATGATCATATGTTTGGCTTAAGGATATGGTTAATGATTTTCGCCTCGTTTAGGGTTAGAGTGCGGGTTTAGTGCTGGAGCTAAGAGTTAGGGAGATGACTACGGTGTTGTGTTCGATTTAGGGTTAACGCATATGATACCCATGCTGTGAAAACTAATTACATCTTTAATGGAAGCCATCACTGGATTTGGTTTCAACGATTTATGCACATTAGTTTCTCCTTTATTTTGATTAATCATTACGGACGAGGGACACTTTGCCTAAGTTATCTAACTAGTGCCCACACGATTACTTTTCTTCTAACGTTTGCGTCCTCTTAGTTCTCGGATTTCAGTATGGCTACTGGCATTTTCAAGCAGTTTACCTTGATTTTTAATCATCACAAAGAGTAATAAGTAACTTACGTTTAAGTTAGCACAAAGCGACTTTTAACATCGTTCGCATATTATAAAGTTTCTTGCCTATGCTGTATTGAGTGGAGTCGAGTATCCAGTCACTGCACAAATGCAATTGTAAAATAAGGAGAGAGTGTTAACAATGTAACAATTTATTTATTCGCAAATGCTAACAGCGTCCTCCAGTGTATAATGCACTTCTGTTGAACCTGATACTTGAATGAAACGATACAAACATGTTGCAATGGGACTTTCCCTTACTCATACATGGCAAACAATATACAATTTAAGAATTTAAGATTCATTAGAACAGAAGGCACTTACTCGGGAATCCCCCTTTCAATGAGAGTTTAAAATTAATCAGGACTAAACTACTTCATTTATAAAACAAGATTTGTAAATCGTCCTCCCATTTTACGGTGTAAACTAACTTTACTGCGTATGTATAGTAATGAACAAATGAAGCGATTCCAAGAAGGTTGTTTGTGGTATATTTAAATTTATACGTTGAATCCCACCTAATAAAATATAAACGCCCCTATGCAAAATCCGTTGGTGAGTGATAACAACAGGGAAAGGAGAACCTATAAAGGATATCAACGTAAATATTTGCAGTAGACTAAACCATGCAACTTACTATAACACAAATCATGAATCGTTTCCTGAGGGTGGCAGTAGAAGGTAAGCTTGCGTACATCATTCGAAACCGAAGACGGCCATTTAGATCTGTGTAAAATGCAGCGATTCTGTGCAAACGTTCGTCTGCTTAACACGCAACAAATTAATCACTAAAGTTAACCATTATGTAAATAAGTATAAATAAGGAAATAAAGGGCGTTGTGATCAACGGAATCATACATTTACTTGTCTGTGCTTTCGGGCTCTTTCTGAGGTCCATATTCAGAGATAAAAGGCGTAAACGAAAGACGAGCAACAGTTATGGGACCCAGGGGCCAATCAACCGTTATGGATGGGAGGGGGAGCGGGAGAGGGGTGGAAGGGAGGGGGCAGTCAACCACCAGTGACATCGGTTCGGAGAAGCCTGTGCAGCGCGATGTGTGCCGGTACCAGCTCGATGAATCGATTAACTGAATTCTCATGCGAGGCCCAAGCTTCAATCAATTTGCGCAGCTGCGAAGTCTAACTCATGACCGGCTTCGTAGGTATAGCGGCCACTTGCAATAATGCGTCACTCCGCCGTACAGCCAGTTTATGTTCGTGTATGCGCAAGCAAGCATACGCCCTGTTTTTTTTGTGTAGTGTCGGGAGAGTTATGACATGGTATGCGATACATGGCGTCCAACTGCGCACTGCAATTCAAAGGATCCTTGATTCGCATGATTCGGTTGCGCATATAAGCCCTGGGACGATGTACAATTCCGACGCCTGGTCGCGCAGCAATGCGTTCGGTCGCTTCGGATACATCCTTGATGTATGGCAGCACATGCAATATCGTACGGGTTGGTCCTGGTCGGGTCCTCAAAGTTCGAGCACGCAGGCATCGGCTTATGAAGGCCTTCGGATAGCCATTCCGCATAAACTGGTCGCGGAGATATCGGGCCTCACGTGCTTTTTCCTCCGGAATACTGCAATGTGTCTGGATTCTTTTGAAGAGTGTTTTTGCGCAGCTTCGTTTGTGAGCCACTAAATGTTTGGAATAAAAATTGAAAAGCTGTGCTGTGTTCGTCGCCTTCCTGTAGACCGTTGTTTCGATTTCGCTGTCGGTAGATCGCATGACGAGTACATCGATAAAGAGAAGGTGCTGATACTTTTCTTCTTCGAAACGCCTTCTACTTCTCCATATAAACATAAACCTGGGATGCGAGCATTTGCCTCAAGACATTGTCAAGCACAACATACCTCGGTTGCATAAATAAGAAAAAAATAGAGAGTGAGACTTGAAATATCATCGGGGAAGGCAAAAATATAAACGGCCATTTAGCAAAATATCATTTTCTCACATAAGGTAAGTCCATTAAATTCAATATAGAATTGAAAGCTTTACTAAACGCTTCAAAATAACTGCTGAGCTGGAGAGCA